TAACGATGTGAGTGTGGCTGGCCCAAAGCCAGCCGTGGTGCCTCCACAAAAGCCATCTAGGCCTGGATCCCCTAGAACTTCAGCTCCGCAGTAGCCAGACTCTTTCTCTTGCAGCACGAGTTTCGCCTGGCCAGTGGCGTGAGCGCTGGGCTCATCCGCTGCTTGGCCGTCAGTCCTAACGGGCGCAGCGTTATGGCTGGCTTCTCCTCTGGTTTCATTGTGCTGCTGGACACCAGGACAGGACTCATCATGCGGGGGTGGCCTGCCCATGAGGGAGACATCCTGCAGATCAAGGTGAGAGGTTCAGCTGGGATCAAGGTGGGGGTCTGCTTCACCGGCCTCATCGATCCTCTGAGGTAGTGTGGAGCATCCTCCTGGCACATGCTGCTTGGCAGGGCTCGTCTGCTCCGCCCTCTGAGCGTTCCTCCATCCCTTTCCGTGTCCCTCAAAGGCTACTAAAGCTCTCCTGTCCCATAGTTAGTGCTGCCAGCAGCTGTTCTTGGTCCAGCCTGTGCTGAACGGAGACCAGCCCTCCCAGGCGTCAGTCCCTGCTGAGCAGGTCAGCGGCAGGGGCTGGAGACACGTCTTCTGTGAAGAAGTGAATGTGTTGCTTTCTCAGCAGGCCTCTCTGCTGCTCTGGGAGAGCATCGCTCTAATGAGTAACTCTTGTCCATATTTACCCATCTTTAGGGAGCAACGTTGGAGCTCCAGTGACCTTGACCCAAATGCAGGTTAAACAAAGTTTAGCCGTGTGGTTGTTTACTCTCCCACTAGCTCTGCTGATAAGCAGTTCCAGGCTTCTCCTCCCCTCAGCGGTGTTTTCTACCATAAGAAAGCCTCCCAATTCTTTTTCTTGAGAAAGAAAATAATTTGGCAGGTGGTTTGATGGACAGGGAGACCAAATGATAATCTCTTTACCCACTTCCGTAGTAACAGATGATAAATTAGTTGTGCTGAGTATCAGGATGTTGCTGACAAAAGACATGGCCCACCTCTTGCTACCAGAGAGTCCTGTAGCTTCCAGTGTCCACCCAGATACCATCTAAATACTGCTCAGTACCATCCATTGCTTGGAAGTGGCTGGTACTGTCCCAAGAGACTGCACTGGGACTGTTAGATTATTGGTGGCTACCTGCTAGACTCATTTGCAGGATGAGATTGGGTGTTGATTCACTGGCCTTTCCTCTCCTGCAGGCTGCAGAGGGCAATGTGCTGATCAGCTCCTCTTCAGATCATTCCCTGACAGTCTGGAAGGAACTGGAGCAGAAACCTTTGCACCACTACAAATCTGCCTCTGAACCCATCCACGCATTTGACCTCTACGGCAACGAAGTGGTCACTGGCACTGTGGCCAACAAGATTGGCATCTACTCCATGCTGGAGTCCTCAGCCCTGCCCATCAGCACAACCAAGCTGAGCTCAGAGAATTTTCGGGGTACTCTGACCAGCCTGGTGGTGCTGCCCACGAAATGCCATCTCCTGCTGGGCTCGGACAACGGTGTCATACGCCTCCTGGCATAGTGACCCTGGCCCAGGAGCTTGTGGCTGTCCCACGGCGCTGGTGGTCGAGCTGAGAGCTGGCAGCGTCACTTACGGAGGAGGCAGAGTTAGGTGTTTCCGAACAGAGGATGCAGGGGGGAGGTGTACTTGTTAGTGAGCAGTTGGTAAAGCATCTCTAACCTCTTTCGGTATCTTTAAAAGAAAAAAAGCCATAACTGAGAAACCTCCACTGCTGCTGGGAGAAATTCTGGGCATTGTAGGTCACCGTCACCCCTGCAGAGAGGCCTAGAGCTGTCCGTACCATGTGTGCCTGATCCCCAGGGGACTGTGAGCTGCCCTCCAGAGTAATATGGACCACAGGTATCCTCCCTCCTTCAGTTAAGGGGTAAGAGGTGCCGCTTGACAAGAACACAACAGTATAGCTACTGCCACCTGCACTTGCCCTTCACTTCCACTCCTGAGCCACTGCACAGTCTTACTAGGATAGCCTGAGCTGGAACTGCTGCCTTCAGAGCTGCGTGGTGCTGGGCATCTCTTCCTCCTGTGGTCTGCATTCAAAGCCCAGAGGATGTACTCTGTTAACTTTAGGTTCTGCCGGCCGAGTTAGAGCCTGTACGGGAGGAGGAGAGGATAACTAGAGCACTTCTGCTGCCTGACTGGCTCCAGGGCCAAGACTGGAATGGAGGTCAGCAAAGACACAAACCCCATCTGCTCCACCAGTTCATTTAGGAACGGGCTGCTGCAGAGGGACAGTTTGGGATGGGAATGTGACCCTCTAGGGAGGCCAGAAACAGATACTTCCATGAGGATTTTGGCTTCTGGAGCAGTAGGTACACGCTGTGATTATCTAAGGAGTGAGGAATGCCCTGTGTGCCATGCACTGGCAGTGTTTGTCAAGGAATCCTCCTTCTAATCCTCTCCTTTGTGCTGCTCAGATTCCTGGGGAAGACAGGACATCAGAAAGGTGCTCCTGCCCTTGTGGGGTGAAAGCCAGGAAGCATGATCCAGCACAGTCTCCATCTGACCTTCCCTTTGGGACATCGCCATCTGTTCCCAGCCCACCGGCGAGGGGAGCGCTCTCTGACCCAGCAGTAGGAGCAGTTGCCTCACTTCTGTGGCAGCTCTTTTCCCATCCATCCCTCAGCCTAGTCAGAGCCAGTATCTGGAGAGCGGGAAGCTCTTATCTTGGGCAGAGGAGGAGCCTGCTGTGGGTTATCCTGGGAGGGGAAAGGGCTTGCGTCCAGCTGCCGGTTCTTCTCGGCCACCTGCAGCTGAGAAGGCTGCCCTCGGCTTCCAGGAGGGTGGGCGGGTGAGCAGTCGGCTCTTGCTATCCTTCCGTGCCCAAGGGGAGCTCTCAGTCCCGTGTTGCCTATTAACCATTTGCAATAGATGTAAATATTTACTTCTAATAAACTCTTCGACAGAGATGTGCAGACGGGTGTGTGGGAAGCTCTGTGCTGGAGGGGCCCAGGCGCGGGGCAGTTCGGGGCTGAGGCTCTCCGGCTCTGGCAGCCGAAGCTAAAGCTCTGCGTTCCCTCTTGTGTGCCCGCCTGAGCTGGAGGAGGGTTGCTGTGAAGATGCCTTGGATGTAGGGTAGGACTCTGCTGCACAGGGACTTGGATCTCGGAAAAGCAGATCCAAGTCCTCTCGCAGAGAGGACAGAGCCGGAAAGGACCACTGTTCCTCTGCGTACGGCACAAAACCGCGCAGGACAGGACCGCTGGAGTTTTGCCCGTCCCCGAGGCACTTCCTCCATGGCACAGGGGTGTGTGTGTGCCGCAGCTCCCCCAGCAGAGCTCTGGTGCTGTGCCCCCGGGGAGGGACCAGCTGCTCTTGGCTCAGCCCAGACTGAGCACTGCTGCCTCTTGCTCAGGGACGTGGCCACGGGGCCTTGGGCACCGGCCATCTCTTAAAGCCGGTGCCTCCTGCTTGCTGCGGCAGAAGCAGCTGGGATAGAGGGAGTAAATATCTGGCGTTTTCTGCAAAGAAAATTCAAAAAACCAGAGCAAGCCCTGTGGCAATAAATACCAAGCTCTATGTTTTCACTCAAGGTTATGAATAAAAGCATTTTCCCAGCACAGAGACTATACGGAAAGCAGAGCCACTACCAGGGACAACTTGACTTTGCATGTTACCTCTGCTGCTGATGGGAGTTCTGGAGCTGGTAAACTCAGTGTTACCATTGTCGTGAGGGTACAGCAGCCCAGAGTGTCTGTCCATCTGACAATGCACCACAAATTTACACTTACCCCTCAAACAAATGTTCAGCCGGATGCTGTGGGTCAATATTTGCCTGCCAGATTCTCAAAGGGGGTGGTGCCAAAGGTTGCTGCTGGTGGGTAGGAGAAGTGGGCTGGACAAGAGACTGCGTTTGCCCTGTGCAGAGCCATCAGCTGGGGTAAAGCAGGTGCCAGCTCCAACGTGGACAAGAACAGCCTCAGGTAAGGGGCAAATAAACAAGGATTTGCCAGTAAGAAGAGGCTTCTACAGTAAGCAATCGGGGGTTAAAGCAGTGGGGTAAAGCATAGGCACCACCAGGGACAAAAGGGGGATCCAGGCTTATATGTGGCTGCGGGTTTCAGGCTGAGGGAGGAGTGAAACGGCCTCAAGTTTTGCTTCTTCCACGTGGCAAGGGAGGTCGTAGGCCAGCAGTTTCAGGTGAAAGCAAGGACTGCTTGTAAGGTGGAAAGCAGCACCAGGAATTAAGCGTATGGCAGCCATGTCAAGGGCTAGGCTTTGGCATGGAGGCGTTATGTTAAAAAGAAGATATGATATTTCTATCTGAAAGGGAAAAGTGGCTGGGTGAAGCGGTGGCCAGGGAATGAGTGGCGTTTTATCCATGTCCTTGGAAGTCCTGCTCCCACTGTCCCATACAGGAACTGGAGTGTGGGGGTGGGAGAGGCTGGTCTTGCCAGTAAAGTGGGAAGGTGAGTGCTGGGAAGAACCCTATTCCAGGATATATTGCTGAGAAACTGCTCTGGTATTGCATTTCCTACCTGCAAAGTCCCTCCCAGACAGTACTTGCCAAGTGCCTGCAGCCCCACCAGGGCAGGTTAGTATCCCTTCTCCCCAGAGCCCTCAGCTGTGCCCATACCCTCGGTGGTTTGCACATGGAAGGAGCAGAAGCTCTTGTCTTCTTGCAGGGGCACAGCGTGTGCAGGACTGATTAGGGAAATACCATTCGCAATCCAGAGAAATGAGGGCAATGGGGTCAGAAACGAGGATCCAAACGTCATGTAGGAGCCTGGCTGTGGTTACAGCCCTGCTCCAGCGCGGGTCCCTGTTCCTCTCCGATTTCGCAGCCTTGGCGTTGGACCCAGCAGTCCTGTGTTGTCTTTTTGCAGCATTGTTCATCTCCCTTTTGCTTTCTGCAAGCGCCTGTGCCAACCTGTTTGGCCAGGTTGATAATTTTCTCTCTGTAGACCTGAACAGGCTCAGCTTGCTGCTGCCAGGCAGCTGGAAATCACTTCTCTCTCGGCTGGTCCTTCTGTTCCAGAGACATGGTGTTCCTCTGGGCTCTGTGGCTGCTCTGCCTGGCTGCTCTGCACAGTCACCTGAGGGTAAGTCGCTTCACCCCAGCGATGGTGGGGGCCTCTGCCATGTGAGCATAGCCCCCTCCCCAGCCAGCAAAGGGCAAGGGGAGCGAGGTTGTTCTCCCGCACCAGACCACGGGGCAAATACTGCCTGAGGCTTCTGCACGAGAGACCCTGGAAGGCAGATTCGTGGAGGACGCTGCTTCTCTGCTATGGGCTTAACCTGTGCCCCAGCGCAGCAAGGTTTCTAACCTTCATTTTTCCCGGCTAAAATAGCTGTGGATATTCTCATTATTCAAGTGGATTTCTGTAGAATGTTTCTGAAAACTTGGCTTCAACTGTACTTAGCGACTATGACTTTCAAGGGTTAACAGGACATTGTTTAATAACAGCTTTCCCCCCTCACCCCGTTTTAAATCTGGATCCCTGTGAGGTCTGAGATTGCAAAACCACACCGCTCACTCTCTAGAAGATACATTATTTTGGACCCTTCTGACCTGGTTCCCTTCTAAACAAAGCCAGCATTTGTAGTCTCTCCCAGGTCCTGCTCACTTCTACCTCCCCATGGGACTGGGTCCACTTTTAAAAGTCCTGCCTGTGCTGTAGCCACACGGGGATTGCTACAGGCAGGCTGGTGCCAGTCTCTGATCTGGCTCCATGCAAATGTGTGAGGAATGGGAGGAGACAGACTCTGGAAATTAAGAGGAAATTACCTGGGACTTGACTTTGTTCCTTTATTGTTGATTTTGTTTTGGGCTTTTTTTCCCTCCACAGTTTTCTTCAGCACATGCCATTGAGCAAAAGCATCTCTTCTTAGACAAAGACGGCAAGCTGAAGGTAAGCAACGTCTGGTTCCACCCAAGGGGACTAAAGTTCTGCTGGGCTATTTGCAACCGTTTTCCAGTTTGTCCTGCGATAGGAAGAGTCCAGGTGGTGCAATCTAGTAGCGCCAGTGCAATGAGAAAATCCATCTTTGTGCAGGCTTCCCTCCCCAACTCACCCACTGCAGCTGCCGACACTGTGCTCCTTCGTGTTGGAAGCTCCAGCCTAAATAACTGGGCAGCTGGTATGTAGAGGGACTGGCAGGTGAATTATTTGATTTCTGATTGGTAAGGGAAGATGAAGAAAACAACTAGCTCTGAGGGTGACAGAGAGAATGACCCGTAGCTGTTGCTACCCATCGAGCCCAGCTCTGACTGTGCAGTGCTCCTGCAGCAGAGGAATGTCATCCGGATGCTGGCGGGAACAGAGAGCTCTGAGGAGAAAAACATGTGTTTAAGACCATGCAAATGCGAGGACAGTAGCAGCAGTGCTATAGGCTTAGGAAAGTGGAAAATGAGGAATTTGGAGAGAAAGGGGATGGAATAGAACAGACAAGAAGAGACAGATGCCTGGAGGAGGATTTGAGCCAAAATGGATCAAGGCTGTGACAGCAGTAGAGGGTGCTGACCGATGCACAAGGCAGATCAGCAGTGCCAAAATGTGTGAGAGGAGGTGGTGATATCAAGGTTGAGGACGATGAATCTATAAAGGGTGAAGGCACAGGACATATCCTGAGCAGGTGGTGGTCCTTGCTCTCAAAGCATGCCTGTGGGGCTTGTTTGCCTGGGGTAGGCCCTGAGAGCAAGTGGAAGAAGAATCACTGCAAGACCCTGACACAGACTTTCTGTTTTCCATACTCATTGAAGTGCTTGTCACCTCAAGGTTAAAAGATAAACTCAAGCATATACACCAGAGTAGAGATGCTGGAGTTTTCTCAACCCATTTAGGTGTGCAGCAGTGCCCACGAGGGAAGGCAGTGCCATGCTCCCGCTTTCTCAGTGCTATCCTTCTCGTTTCTCCGCAGGACCTGAAAAGTGTTGGAGTTGCAGAGTCTGCTCTGCCGGGAACCAACGGGCCTGTGCCAAATGCAGAGCTGGCAGAGGGTACCTCTGACAACTTCCAGCATATTGATGGACCCGCGTTACCTTTCACCGTCACCCCGCCAGGCACGAGGAATGACTGGAACACAGAAGATGAAGTCAGAGCTGGGGCTGTGAGCTGTCACGAACAGCAACCATCTAGGGAAATTGCCTCTTCTGAAGAGAAAGAAGAGGCTGAAGATGAAAACTGTGAGATGACTTGGAAGAAAAGCCGGAGGCTAGCAGATGGCTTGATGAGATTCAGCATCGATCTCCTGAGAGAGGTCCAGCTGGAGTCCAACAGAACCAATGTGATCCTGTCACCCCTCAGCATCGCCCTCGCCCTGTCTCACCTGGCACTGGGTAACTCCTTAATTACAAAAGCACCATCTCTCGCCCTTCCCTCTACCCCCTCCTGGAGGCACTAGGAACCGATGTGCAAAATACAAAGATAAAATCGGCACCTTTACTTAATCTTACTCCTGCAGCTTTAAGTAGGTTCGCTTACAATTGAGGCTGCCCTCCATGGCCCTGTTGAGGCTCCTACTCTCAGGTTTCTCCAGCCTCTTTTGTAAGGCACAGTGTGTTTCTAACAGGAGGCAGCTACAGAAACATCCCTCTTTTCCACTACCTGGGCATGACCTAACAGGAATTTGCCTTTGCTTTTTAGGAGCAGCAAATCAGACAGAGAAGCATTTGCTGGAGGCAATGCATCTGGAGTCGGTGCCCTGTCTCCACCACCTGTTGGGTTCCCTTCGCAAAAAGCTCAGAGAATCCACCCTCAGCCTTGCATCCCGTCTGTACCTGCAGAAAGGTGAGAGCTGGCACGGGGCGGGTCTGTACTGGAGTAGTGTAAAGCTGTCAGTGACAGACAGGGATGGAAACACGCTGCCATACTGGGAGAGGTCTGTTTCCCTCAGCATTCCTCCTGGGGAGTGTCATGCCACTGACTGAGACACTGAGCAAGTATTTTTCAATGGCTGATGACTTCACATAGAATTCTTCCCCTCCAACAGGATTTGAGGTGAAAGAGAAGTTCCTAGAGGACTCAGGGAAATTCTATGGAGCAAAGCCCGTGACCCTTTCTGGGAGCAGTGAGGATGACCTCAAAGCCATAAACAAGTGGGTAAAGGAAGCAACTAATGGGCAAATACCCACCTTCCTACAGCAGCTCCCTGAAAACACAGTGATGCTCTTGCTCAATGCAATCCATCTCCACGGTGAGCTCTACAGGCCTTACTTTTCAAGAGGAATAGTTAGAAAGCTCCCAGTTTTCTGCAAACTGAATGGCATCTCCTTTCCTCGCTTCCTGCTAGTCAATCTGCTTGTTCTTCTCTTGTACATCTGCTGTTCCTCTTGCTTAGACTTCTTTACAGTAATGACTCCCAACTGCTTCACATGTGCTAAAAATGGTACTTGACAGCAGAGCCAGGATGCAGCAGGTGGAACCTGTATTATTTTTGCCTCCTGGTTCAAGCTCCCAGACCGTGGCTCATCACTGCTCATCTTAACCAGGTCACAGGCAACTCAATACACACCGACCGTGGAGCTCAGGGCAGCTTCTGTGGATCTCTTTCTGACGGCAGCACGGTCGTCAGGAACACCTTCCTTTTTTAATTCCCTGAGGGTTGTGCATCGGAACACCGACCAAACACTTACTTCCAGCATAAATGTGCAAATGTTTCAGCTTGGTCTCGGGGCGCCGTTTCAACCTACACAGAACAAAGGCAATGTTCTTCATTTTCCAAAGCGCAAATATCCATTACTTTATCTTCATGGCCTTCAGTAATCTCTCACGCTGAGGCATGAGGATTAACCTCGTTCTTTTTGTTATTTCACAGTCCCTCTCTGAAAGATAAGAGCTTCCTGCTCTTAGGGCTCTTCCAGCCTTGGTACTGACTTATCTTTGCTGTATTTCTGCTTGCCTGGTCACTGTCTGCCTTGCTGGAGAACTCGCAATAGGAGGAGTGTCAGCGAGGCAGTTTCTGTTTTCTTACCCACATTTAACTTTGATTTCTGAACTTTTATTTTGATAGCGATTTGGAGGAATAAGTTTAATGCTAGCTTCACTGGGCCAGATGTGTTCCACCTTGGCAACGGGTTTGTGGTGCCAGTTGAGATGATGAAAGCCCAGGAGTACTCCCTGAGCTGGTTTACACTGGAGTCCCAGGATGTTCAGGTGGGGCTCTATTAGCAGCACTAGAAGTTTTGACTGGAACTGCCTCTTTCTATGGTATTTTACTGACTGCAAGCGTTCTCTCCAAAATACACATGTCTTTTAACACGTATAGCACACAAAAATTTAATACGCATCCTTTGTCCTTGCTTCTAGCAAGAATGTTGAATCTTCACTCGCAATCTCTAAGAAAAAACACCGACAGATATTCCCTCTAAGTGGGAATTAATGGAGTTTTAAAGCCCCAAGTTAAAGATAAATGAGGAAATATGGAAAGGAATTTCCTCCAACAGTATACTGTTGGAGCCTTTCAGAATACAGCTACTGCCAGAATGGGTACAATGTTAGTGCACATGGGCTTCCACTCTGCCACGTGTTCAATCTTTACCAGTCAGTAGCTAAATACTAAAATCTGATGCTGTTACTCCAACAAACTTCCTTCTCTGAAGAAATCAAATACCTCCTTCCCACCAGGTTGTTTTCATCTGATGGCTAGACTGACTCTGTAGACCGATTAGGAAAAGACTAAATTAAAAGTATCACTTTCTGGACTTTCATTCCTTTTCTATAAATTCTTCTGGTTCGTTTTATTCCCAGGTGGCCAAGTTTCCCTTTAAGAGTAACATGAGTTTTGTGGCCGTCGTACCAAACCAGTATCCTTGGAATACTGCTCATGTGTTGGAGGACTTCCCTTATGAACAACTATGCAGGCTTTTCCCCAGAGAGATACCCACTGCAGTGAAGATCCCCAGACTAAAACTGGACTACCAGCTGGAACTCAACAAGGTTCTCAGTCAAATGGGTAAGGCCTCTGACAGGATTTGCACAGAGTGAAGCTGATCGATCCACACGGCATCTGTTCGCTGACACTAAGAACTGACATCCTTGTTTCGAAAGCTGTGCCTCACAGCTTGCTCCAGATAACGTCCAATCTTTCATCTCTTATTCCTTTCCTCCTCCTTACTCTTTGCTTGCCTAGCACCAAATGTTTTGCTCCAGCAAGATGATACTATGGAGAAGTCAGCATTCACTGTTCCTCACAGTCTTTATGAGTTCCTCCTATTCTTCTATTTGTAACTTCCCTCTGTGGGTCGACCTTTATCTCTTACTTTGTCATTTAAGATAGTGTCCAGGACATAGAAACTGCCAACAGGGAAAATGCAGATCATAAAACCTGGAACCAAGGGCTCACTGAAATAAAATACCACTCACTGCATTTCCAGATGAGAATAAGCTAAGAGTTCAATTTGTTTTGCAGAATTGTTTAAAAAAATAATCTCTGTAAAAGTGTTTTCAGCCCAGCAGGAAAGAGCCTTCAGACTTGCTGCTGCTTTTTCAGGAAGGCTTTAAGTTCTTACACTACTATTCTAAAAGAAGTGGGCAATGTTTTTGAAAACTGTTCCGGTTTTGGCACCCTCAGCTCTTCATACAGAGAGGGACTGGGCAACCTGGCTGGAATGCAGCTTTTGTTTCTGTTGCCTGTCAGTTCTCCAGTCCTCCATAGTGGACAACACGTGTAGCAACAGATTAGGGAGCTGGTTTCTTTGGACAGCTTTGAGAAATATCAGAGCCGCTGGCACCCACTGGGAAAGGTTAACTTGGTCTCATTTCTGTGTAGGCCTCCAGGAGCTGTTCACGAGACCAAATCTCCAGAAGATCACAGATGAGCTTCTCTTCGTGTCCAGTATACAGCATCAGTCTACCCTGGAACTTAAAGAAGATGGAGTGGAAGCATCTGCTGCTACCAGCGTTGTGACTTCACGCTCGGTCTCTGTCTTCAGCCTTGACCGGCCCTTTGTCTTCCTTATCTTTGAAGATGAAACAGGCATCCCACTTTTTATAGGCAGTGTCCAGAACCCTAACCCCAACGCTGCTCCTCAGCTAGAACAACCATGGGACTCACGTAAAGCAACAGACGTCAATGAGGACCCCGTGCCCAAATAAGAGAGGAGCAGAGCCTAAACGTTCTGGGACTGCACCCTGACCCTTTGGACCAGCTAAGAGAGGCCTCTTGTCCTTGGAGACCTCCCTCTGAGGCCACAAGAGGCAACCCCTTGCTGTTTTCCTTTACAGATCCCTAGAGACGAGCCCTGGGATAGCCCATTCCAGCTTCCCCAGGCTGGGGTTCCCCTCTGTTGAACCTGAAAAGCTTGCTCTGCCTGGATTTCCTTTCCAGGGCTCTCAGTCCTGGAAGGGAGACTTCCTTGTCCCCAGGCTCTCACTAGAATCTTTATTAAGCTCTTATTAGAGTCCCCTGTAGCCTGGAATCATCAGTGGCATCTGGCAGCTTGGACAACAGCCAGAGATATTAATATAGCTCTTCCTTCCGCAGTTCCTGTGAACATGTCTCCCTCGAAGTGTTCCTCTGAAAACTGTCTGTACCACCCAGAAAATGACCTCTAGCTCAACTGGACTAGGAACCAGTCATCTCTAGGATGAGCCACAACCGTTTCCAGGCACAGGCTCTTTTCAGATTCCCTGTTCCCACTCCTTGGCTACTGGGATCTGATGTGGGAGGGTCTGCAGTGGGAAATCCCTTTAGATCCTTATCTCCAGTCCTTTTCCTGGAAGTCTCTAGGTTCTTGGGTAGTGCTAGATTTTTTGAGACATATTTTAGAAAGTGTTTTTTATTAATTTTGTTGTTGGCAGAATAATAAATAGTAAAGCAGAATATGTTTGCTAAAGGTGTCACATTGAAAGACCCAACAGAGACAGGAAAAAGGCACATAACTTGAATAACTGCAAAGACTGGAGGGACAAATGTCTGGGCATGACAGATGGAAAGATAGAAGGGGCTCTTGCAAGGGACCTGACAACATTTGACAGAGGTGAAATGGCTCATCAGTAAAGACTGTCTGAGGACCAAGTCCAATAAGCTTTGGGCATCTCACCTGCCAGGTGTGCAGAGAACACTTACCAAGTCAGAGCTGGCTTTGTGAACTGGGCAGAATTCCTTGAATCCTGACTCATGAGTTCAGTGGCAGCGGGTACTTTGCCTGTGAGCAGCAACGCTGTGATAAGCAGAGGCGTGACAGTCCTTGTCTTGGGCAAAACCTGACCATTGCTGGTATCTACTAAGAGGTTCAAAGGTGCTGATCTGGCATCTGCTATCTGTGATTTGTTCTTCTCCTGGGATACTCCTGGCTCCACAGCACAATGCTATGGATGGCTGGGACACCTTCCAGGGGCAGATTTTGATGTCACTGCTTTTGCCTTGTCTTGGCAAAAGGCAATGTCCCGTTACAGCTTCACTTCTGTCTGAGATGGTCACAGCTCCCTGGGACCTTGTTCTGGGGCAGCATCTGAAATAAGGTCCCGTGAAAGAATCTAGGGAAACCTCCACCCAATCAAGCCCTCCTACCACTTAAAAATATTAGTCTAACTCCCTGGAGCCTGCCATGCTGCAGCTTTTTCCGTACAAAACAACTGCTGTCCATAGTAGTTTCTGCTTCTGAACTCGCTCACTTTCTGGTTAAAAAAGGACGGTGCTCTGTTTTTTTGTGAAATAGTAGTTACAGAGCACAAGGGCCATCCTTCTGGCAGTGTTTTCCTCGCTCGGGAAGTCTGCCTTCCCTCAAAGGAAGGAGCAGAAAGCTTCTGGGAGCCTCTGTCCCTGAATAGTCTGCACCATCTGCTGGAACAAGAGAAGGACTGACTCACCAACCATGAATTGCAGGGCCACAGGAGACTTTGGGGAATAAAAAGTCCTGGCTCAAACCTGCAATTACACATGTCTTGCCGTCCAGAAGAAGAAGAACAGCTAAAGATAATGTCTACCCCTTTAACCAATGCAATGACATGTACCCTTCCGAAAGAGGGTGTAATTACAGGGCCATGCAATTTTAACAAGTAAACCCACAAGAATTCAGCCCTACTATGAGGGCATAGCTCTAGCCCTCAGGGAACACTTTAGCTTATTTTTTTTACACAGATTCATTCCCAACATTCAGAAATACCATTCCATGCCTAAGGTAAGTATTGCTTTGACTCCTGCCACCTCAGCGCTAACCTCCCTGAATTCCACCCTGTTGCACTGCAACCTGTGCAACATTAGAAGTGCAAGTCTTCTTTTCATGCCTCTGCCCTACAGCTCCCTCTCTTTATAAAGTTTTTTCCTCTCACTCTCAGTTTCCTGAACAGCTTGGTTCTCATTTCCTATTTTCTATCTTTCTGCCATCCCTCCTCCTCCAAGCTATTCTTGTCAAACTATTAATTTCATCTTATTTGACAGCACAGCAGCCCTTCATGACTGTGCTTTGCTCAACAAATTATCAGTTACACCAACCTTAAGACTCTTTTATGCTCCACTGACTCTCCAGAAGAGGCAGTTTGTAAAATGCAAAGTAATATTAATGTCTCTGCTCAGGAATTTCCACTTTGCATTGCTAAGCTCTCAGTTTGACTGAGCTCTGTGCTGAGAAGACATGACTAGCACACGGCGTCAGCTCCATAGCTCATCTGCTCCACTGACTGAGAATATCAAATGAGCCTCAATATCTTTAATGTTTGATGTACTTTTTTCTTTACTAGAGCAAATTCATATGAACATGATGAGTACTTTCACAGCAGAGGTGAACACTGCTCAGACAGCATACTGCCTGCTATCTCAATCCCAAACTAGAACAACCGCAAAATGTTTATATTGATTTAACAAAACCGACCTAAGCCTTTGCATCTAGCTAGATGAGTATAATGCACCTTTCTGGGGATACCCTTCACCTACAGGAATTAAACTTGCTTTGATCTTTAACATTCTATGCAATAGCCACTCTGATTTAAATGGTTTAAAACCAAATCCATATTTAAACAGATGGGCTTTGACTTGAAGATGCAGATGAAACGTAAAAACTTCTCTAGTGGTCCTTCCATAGGGGACATTTTAATACCACAAATAAAGTATCAAAAAGAGATGAAAACCACCAGAAAATATCTCCACAGCCAGCACACCCATTCTTGGGCTGACAACGGAAGACCTAACAAGTACAAACACGTCTCTGCAGATGATTTCTCACAGAGCAAGCTGGGAAGCAGCAGAGCGCCGAGCTGTCCTTATTAGAAAGGGTCACTTTTTGAAGCACCGACTAACCACAGGGCAGACGACACGAGTCGCTTTTCTGACTTGCAAAACCAGCACCTGATGCTTCTCTAGAACCAACTTTTCCTCTTTGCTGAGGGGCTGTTAAGAGCTCCGTGCCCATGCACGAGGAACCCCTCAGTTATCTGACAGCCGCAGGACTGGCAGCACCAGAACGAGGTGTCCCAGAGCAAGCTGAGACTGGGGCACTGGTGTCATTGGCGACAATTTACTTTCGGCATTTCCAGGTAGAAAACCAGCTGCCCGAAATCAGGCTAGCTATGTGTCCAGTTAGCCCTGTATCCTGGCTCTCCTGGTAGCTGGTCATAAAATACTAGGGGAAAAAAAAAAGCCAAGAATGACTAAGGAAATGGAAAACCAAGTGTTCTCTGGTTGTATCACGCAGCTGCTGAGTCTGACATTACATCCGACTATTGTTGGCCTTCAATGGACGTGTCGTCCCCTAATCTGCCTTGGGTTGTTTTTTCCCCAAAAATCTATTTATCTTTCATCTTCTGCAATATCTAGTTACAATGAGTTTTACAATTTAATACTTATGAAGAACACACTCTCCTGATTTAAATGTGCTCTGATGAGTGTTCCCCTAGAGTCTTCTATTGCAAAAAACCATGAAACCCCTCGGCCTTTCCCTTCCCCAGATGTTCTGTAAGCAACTACAATATTCTGTTAATTGATCTTTTTTACCAACAGTTCTTAGCTTTTTAGTTTATTTCCTTTTGGCCAAAAACTTCAAGCCACTTATGTTAACAACTTCTTGTTAACTAGTAGCTGTCCCTGGATAGAACCACTTCTGAACATCTTCCCCTTAACTGCTCTGAACATCAACAGAATCCTGCTTCCACTTTACAAGCCTCTCCATTAAAGTTTGGACATGAATTTACATTAAACATCGCTGCACTAACTGTAACTCTGAGACAGAAGAAACACCTGATGTGACCATGCGGCAAAACTACAGGGATAAAAGTCTTGTCCAAACAGGGCAGGGAGCATTTGCCTCTCCACCCTGTGCTTTACCCGCTAGACTGCCCTTATCACAGGCAGCACATTTGTTTTGGGTTCAACAGGCGGTGCAATTCGGCGGGAGGGTGGCAGCAGCCGAAAATGGGAGCAGAGCACTTTAAGAGAGCCCTGGGAAGCTGTAACCTGAAGCCAGCCGAAGGCTGGGCTGGGGGAAGCAGCAAAAAGCAGATGTGGCTGCACCAAACCCGCTCTGTCCCCGACTCGCACCCGCTGGGAGCCTGCGACGAGAGGAGCCCGAGGTAAGGGGCAGCTCACCCTTGCTGGGTGCCAGCGGTCAGGGGGAAAAGAGGGCACAGGCTGAGGCTGGGGAGCTCTTAGCAGACCTGGGAAACGGGAAGACGGGTTCTTCTGCAGGTGTTAAAGGGTGGGATTCCCACCAGACAGGAGATCTCACCAAGGGCTGGGAGCTGCTGGCATCCTCGGGTACCTCTTTGCCTCTGGGGCTGGACTGGGAACTGGGCTGGGTTTCTGCCCTTCTGGCATCTGTGCTGCAGCTGGGAACACGCGTTTTCTTTGCAACGGTAAGGATTTCGGTGATAGTCAAATCCCCTAGAGAGCTGGTGGCTGCAAGATGCTTCAGGAGTTAGTGCTGTGGGGTGGCGCAGTCACAGCACTGCCAGCCTGAACTTGCGGGTGATGTTTCACAGCACCCCTAAAATCAGAAGTGGTGATAAATGATGTGAGACTTGTACCACTATCACTGGGAAGCAAAATGTTTCCTTTGCACCTGCGGGCCTTCACAAATAGGTAACTCCCAGACACAAAGATCCTTCTCAGCTAATTTCTCAAAAGTTTTCTTCCTGTACCTTCCTGACTGTAACATCACATG